AAGTGTGGCTTGAGATTTAAATTTGGTTAGAAAACCAAGGCCCATCTGTCTGCGCATTAGCGTCTCACACCCTCACAAAAAAGAGAAAAATAATGTATGTTAAACCCGAGGATTGATCACTATTTGATCAGTTCTATTCCAGGTTTCTAAGTCAGATATCACCCCACCCTACCACCACCATAATTCCAAAGAAAACGGGTAATATATAGGCATATATTTCAAAAGTAGAGAATATATAATATTCTAATGAAAAGAGGTTGTTATTGCAACACCAATGAGTATCTAAAGAGCCCTTAAAGTTCACGATACCACTCTTATAATTATTTCGTTATAACGAATTCTTATTTCGCTTAAACGAATTAATATTTCGCTTAAATGAATTAATATTTCGTTTTAACAATATATTTTGTTTTATCAAATTTATATTTTGTTTTAACGAATTAAAATTTCGTTTTAAAGAATTGCTATTTATTTTTTATCGAATTACTATTTCGCCTTAAAGAATTACTATTTCGTCTTAATGAATTAATACTTCGTTTTAACAAATTAATATTTCGTTTTAACGAATTAATATTTCGTTTTAACGAATTAATATTTCGTTTTAACGAATTGATATTTTGTTTTAACGAATTAATATTTCGTTTTAACGAATTAATATTTCGTTTTAACGAATTAATGTTTCGTTTTAACGAATTAATATTTAGTTTTAACGAATTAATATGTCGTTTTAACGAATTAATGCACTAACCCATGTTATATTTGATCATTAGTTTCTATTCTTTGTGTCCTATTTCATAAAATTCCATAACGAGTATATGTTGCGGTTAGTAGTAGGTGTATGATTCTACAATGTTTAAAAAGTCAAGACCTCGTAAATGACGGTATAAATTTTTTATTTATTATTCTGTTTCTAGGAAACGTGTAAATTTATTTGAGCTTTTATTGGTTTGGGTGATGCAGCTGAGGAAACTGAATGTTATATTCAGATATATCCGCCTCAAATCACATTTGACACCCTGATTTTTCAAAATTTTCTCTGAGGACCCTCTTGCCCCCCGCTAACCAAATGTTCGGTATCCACCACTGACGACATTTACAAAGGTTTATATGTGTTAACCGATTATTTTGTATTTTAGGTGATGTACAAACACGTAAATATAGCCATAAAAACAGATAGTATTATAAGTGTTACTTATGTATTTATTGTTGTAACCATAAAGAGGGTGTCCAGGTAGGATCTTTCGAATACTTCAATATGCATAAAGAACACTTTCATAAACTGGTCTTATCTTTCAACAAACTGAAGAAATTTTATATGTGTTAATAGATGCATAGTTTTTAATGCCATCCAAGAAGAACAGTTGTCAATTGCAATAATTAAATATGCCATTGAACGCACGCCCTTCGCCCGTACAAGTTTGGAGTCGAAACCACATTGACTCAATGGAATTTTTGTATCGTAATCTTGGAATTAGAATGATTGATGCTGATTTTAAAATGCCAAACTAAAATTTTAGCACAACAAACACGTCTTTTTACTTCAATTTTCATGAATTAAAATCGAATTAAATGATAGAAAGTGTATGTTGATATAAATCGAATGAAGACAACCATCTATTTGTGCAAAGAGATTGCGTTTTTCCATGGACGTGTATTGCAGTATCAGGCTCAAGGAGAGGGGACGGAAGAGTGCAGCCGGTACATTGCCCCGGGGTCCATATATATATGGCAGATAAATATAAAAATAAATAAAAAATACGTCCAGGTAAAAAAATTCACCACTTTACTTCATTCTGACATACATTAAATCATAATTATAAGCTATCTGTCTGTCCTATACAGTGGATATATATATTTGTATATATATTTATCTAATCATTTTTTTACGTCGGCATATTCGGAATACCGACCGCAGAGCCCACGATCCCCGACTCTGAACCTAAATATTCCGGCACATAAAAAAATGTTGACTTGTGCAATAAATATATTGGGGTTTTTTGGACAGTAATATGTGCATACTCTTATTGAGGTTAGCGGGTATGGGGCGGGTCAGTAACCAATGTTTTGACCCAAAAAATTGAAAGAAAAAAACCCAACAGATAATAGTGTATGAAATTCTATGATGTTTTGATTTTTGATGAATAAAAACAATATAATAGAATTGTCCTTGATATATTTTCAGTTTGATAGTGTTTTGTATTTTATTATCAAAAACCTATACTAAATAGCGAGGTCTTTTATTTAACCAAAAAGATAATGTTTTAATAATGACAATTTGATGGCATGTTTATCTCTTTAGCTGTTATTGTATATGATGATGAAACGCCTTGAACTAACAAAGGGTATTGGGTTGTCGATCCGTAATCGAAAATAGAGTAGTTCGGGAATCGTGTGCCACGTTGATTTAATTGTTTTCCGAAATAAAACAAGCAGTTGCCATGTGCAAGATACGTCAGTATATTGCAAGAGCTGGACAGAGAACAAGCTAAATGTCGATTTTTCGTACAAGCAGGGGCCATACTCCAGGATATTACGATCCGACATCCGTCAATATCGAAAGGAATCGGGATCTTTGAGATATAAACATACTTAAAGTTTCATCAAAATCGGATAATCATTGTGAGTTCCTGAGGGTCTACGACCTTGGTATGACAATATTACACCATCATTGTGAGTTCCTGAGGGTCTACGACCTTGGTATGACAATATTACACCATTTGCATACAGGGGAGCGGCGATTTGTTGGGCAGTTCCAGTCCCATTTTCACTAAATGAGTTGACGAGCTAAAAGTGTGATTTTTCGTAAAATCAGGAGCCATAATACAGGAAGTTGTGGTCCGATATGCACCAATATCGAAATAAATCGAGATCTTTGGACTATAGGCTAAACATACGTTTTAACAAAAGCGGATGAATATATGAGTGTCCACAGGCTAAACACGTAACTTTTCGTATAATCCGGGGCCATAATCCACGAAGTTGCGGTCCGATACATGCCAATATCGACAGGAACCGATTGTGATATATATGTAAACTTTTATTTCAAGTTTCGTCAAAATCGCATAAAAATCGTGACCCTTTATAAAGTGTCCACTGCTCAGCTACATAATTTTTTTTGTAAATCAACAGTTTTTATGAGAAAAGTTTCTCGGCCGTGTACTTTATCCTTTATCGTCAGATGTGGGACAGGATGGGCACTCAAAGCACGAGATAATGATATAGACATTATGTGATATCACAATTTTTAATGCTTTGCATCCATGAAATTGAATCACAATGTCATTGTATTAATTCATAATAAAAATTGACATCAAACGAATTTCTCTGTTTAAAAAGCTCAATGTGTATGTATATACGCCAAAATGTCGATAGAGACCATGTGGGGGAGGGGGGTGGGGGAGATACATTGTCTCAGGAAAATGGCAAACCCCCTCCTGCAAAAATTCCTGGATCCGCCCCTGGGGCGACGGTATACGTCCACATGAAAATGTGAGCGAATACACATTCAGGGCCGGTTGTATAAAATACGGGGCCCAATTTGGGACGCCCGAAGTTACAGAATATGAAGGCCAACCCAGGGCCCTTATTCACGAAAACTTAAACTAAGATACAATCGAAATTTTAAGAAATACTGCAATTCGATTGGCTGACCAGTAAAATCAATTTGCATATATCCAATGAAGTTGCAGTATTTCTTAAAATTTCGGTTGTAACTTAGTATAAGTTTTCGTGAATAAGGGCCCTGCTTTACTTCACAATTAGTAATCAATTAATACCTGAGAATAGACACACCTGGCAGCCCTGCTGCCAGATTGCCTGGAAATTTTTTAAGTTGGTGAGCTGCGGACCCCCTTTCTTGTGCGGGGCCCAATTTTGGGAAATTGGTCAAATGTGCCAAAAACATTAAAACACGTGCCACTTTCCAATTATTTTATCGTTGAGATTTTACTTATGTAAACAAAAATGAACAAAGTAATTTAACAGTATTATATATCAAGGATAGGGGAGTTTTAATAAACCCTGTCACCAGAGGAGGCGATTTTCTCGGACAATAAACCCTTTTCTGCTCCAGGAATCCAAAACATGCCGTGGCGTTCTTGTGGGAATGTTATTAACGCCCATAAGAGGCAAAATCTGACTGGGATATTTGACACATCGGCTTGGGACTAGTAGACTAGTATGAAAATACGGTAAAATACCGCTCTTCCCCACCTCTGTTCTCAGGCTGTTTTAGAACCCTTACCTTCTATTTTCCACCGTGATTCTTTATTTTCCGCCAAAAGGAATCATTTATCACTATATTTGAAACAAATTTTTAATTGTCCGCTCAGAGACAGTTCCTAAAGGAACTAATAGTAGACAAAAGGCAAAACTTTCTTATGTTGAGGGAAAAATTAATTTCATGACATTATTTCCGTTTATGTTTCATATAGGAAATATATTCATCTAGAATACCTTAAAGTTGCGATTTTTTGTAGAAATAGGCCCACCCGATGAATATCTGCAGTAAAATCTAAACCACCACATCCTAAATGTCAATGCGGGCAGGCAGTGTGCCTTTCAGTTTCATCCAGCAGTAGCCGATTCCCTGAGACTAGTTGAATAACACTTTGAATCATTCTACATCATTAGACTGAATAAAAGGGGTATGAAAACCGATGTATGATAAAATTTCTTCCTGGAACACTGCATGCACGTCTTTATTATAGCCCAGTCGACGCAGAAAAGTAACCTCCGTTTCATTTTATTACGTTTGCAAGATGGCGACTGACCATGAGGTACTGGCGTACCAGGCAAGATGTAAGAACAGTATGATTGATGCCAGTGGCAGACTGGGTAAAAGACGCTTTATACTATTTAATTCATTGTTGGTACATGTATATTAGGCGACCGAGTCCAATAATTTGATCTTTATATAGAAATAACCAGATCTTTCTTCTTATCGGGGAAGTGGGAACACATCTTTCATAACGCACAAGATAATATCATAAGACTTTGGTTTAGTTTTGTATTTTATTCTCATAGTTGTCGAGATATTCTGTACAAAATCATATATACAATGATCAGGTTATATTTATATTATATATTAAATATACATATATTACATTGTTCTTGTTTAAATTACTGTAATGTACTCAAATATTAATTAATCAACTTTCGGAAATTCTATATTTGAATGATAAAAGTAAAGTTAATTGATGAATCTCTTGGGCCTAATAAAATGTTATTACCAAATGAATAAGATGCTGTATATACTATTCGGAAACTGCTTAAATACGTTAAATAAAATACTGAAATTATATTTATTTTAGGGAATGCAAATATCATGATCAAGATTAAATTCTTTCATTATATATACACAATTCTGTATATAATATTATTTCATTCATAATATAATATGTTGATTAACATAATTTCCATATTAATAATTAATTATACACAATTTTGAAATTGATCATTTAAAAACGACTTCATGCAACAATTATATCTGTTCAATTAAAATAAATGTACAATCATATATTAACAAGAACAAAAATATATACAAACATTTATTTATGCAATCATAATTAATTAACATTGAAAATTAAAAAGAAAGCAAAAAGCACTATTTAACGAGCCAAGCTCACAATTAATCAACAAGGACAAACAAACATACCTCATCTATGGAATCATTTCATACAAATATATTACTAATACAGTGAAATCATGTCAAATTCATTCATTAAATAATAATGTGGGCCCAACTTGGTTACAACCAGTCGAGAAATCTGCTTCGGTTCAAAACTTAAACCAGTTCTTTGGAGAATTGGGTATGGTAAATAACAGTTAATAGAAATTTTAAACCTAATCTTCAAAATTTACCATGATCTCTTCCCTGTTCTCTAATGGTCTCTCCAGATAGTAAGTAAAGCAAACAAGGCTCTTGTCACACCCCTACCTGATCAGTCTGAATTCATAACTTAATATGAAACAGATTGATTCTCTTAATCAAGTGGGCCCTTTATCTCTAATCATTACTAGTCTATTTTAGTCACACATACAAATGAAATATATGAAAACCGTATTGAACTTGTTTCACTGTTCTTTGTTGTCTAACTTTTAGTTACATACCATAAACATTATTGAATAGCACCATATACAGTCACTTTAAGCTTAGATGACTTCAGTTAATATACACTAAAAAAACAACAACTTAAAACAAACATTTTTCAATGAAACCTGGGAGTATTTTACCTCCCTGATTAAAATGTACGTTTTTGTCCACAAATTAAAGAAAGTTCGTAAACTGAGGTAATTGTTCTGTTAATTATTTTAGCCGATTTAATGACTAGTATCCTTCTTGGACCAATCAAATTAACAGATCAGCTAAGTTATGTTTTAAAGGCATTAAGTAACCGCTATTGAACACAATCTTTGTTTGTTTTTAGAAGAAAAATAATGATTTATATTTCTTATTGTTTTTTACATTGTTGCCTTCAACAGCAAACTTTTAAACACAGATCTTAGTAGAGTTGCCTCCCTTTAAAAATAAAAGGTAAAAAATAATAAGAGTTATTTCCCTTTAATCATAATTCTCTTTGGAGTCTGTTTCATTGCCAGGACATCTATTCCCATTGGCAGTGTTTTTGGAGTTATTTTTAAGAGTTTTCAACTCTATTCTTTTAAATGTGATTTGTTTATTTGGTAAAATTGGCACCACCAGAATTTAATAAGTTAAAACACAAGTCTGTTACTGATCGCTTACACCACTACATCATTAAAGAAGAGTCCGTCAATTTCGGATTGTAGCTCATCGGGATTGATCGTATAGCTACCCGACGTTGTTGTTCTATCATCATCATCACAGACACTTGAAGCACCTGTTCTGAAGCTTTCGTCTCTAATAAATTCTAGAGGTCGCGGATAATGATGTTTATAGTCCATTTGATTATGCATACGTCCGTTGAAGGTACTCATTTGTTCTCCTGCGTACTTGGGTCTTCGAAGATAGGAGTCTTCGAAAACATCATCAGGGCCTTGACTGTTATTCAGATCTTGCCAGCGTGTGAAACCACTTCCAATGGAACCAGTGTTTATTTTTCCTTGGTAATTGCTCAATGGGGAAGCTCTTTGTAAACTGCCGTGCCCAGACGTCATAGACAAACTCGACTGTCTCCCATCATTGAAACGATCAAAAGAGGTTGGATAAAAACTGTTTGCGTGAAAATTTCTCGAATCATCTGAAAACATAAAGAAAATGAACATGATATTTTACAGGCTACTCAATTAATATGTATGTAATATGAATGATTATTTTTCGAAACGAAATAAGAAATTAAGTAAAATTAATTTCAATATAAGTAATAACTTTACAGATCACCTTTTAATTGATTGATTTTTGATTAAGCTTTTTAAAATGGTCTACATCATTTAAATAATAGAAGTATCAACAATGATTTGAAGAATGTGAAGCAAGTAAATGAGGGAATGATGATGATACACAAGTCTAGTAATGTAATACTATTAGTATCAACAAACAATATCCATATAAATATATGTATTTATACTATATATTTACAATTCAAAACAACAAAAGGCTTTTCTCTAAAACAACAGCTACAACTAGTTAGGCAAAGGTAGAAAAAACAACTGCCATTATGTCAAACACCACTTTTGACTACATTGAACTCTTCTAAATTCAAAACTCCATTCAAGATGCTATGGATAATTGGATATTCAGATATATTTTATTTTCTCTAAAGGGGCATTATCCTATAATTGTCTATAATTATTACTTTGGTAATTCCAAATCGTTTTTAAAAAAAAAGAACTCGTAGAATAAGACATTAACAAAGATTTTAAGAAACAAAACTTTTTAGAAATTTGAAAATGCAAGAAACAATTGAACAAACATATAGAAGAACTGTACATAAAAAAGAACTATTTTAGTGCCTAGAAATTAAACAATAGTACAAAAACCAGGTAGTGATTTCAAAGAGATACAGGTGCTAATGTCAAGGGAAGACAATTCAACATGCAATCATCCCATTGACTTACCCCCCCTGTTTTAAACATACAACTGTTTAATTATCACAGGTTTCGAAGAAGTTGCTCTGTTACCACTTTTAGCTACCAATGAAATAATGTTGAAAGATAACGGCATGCTATTGAACTTATATCATAAATGAAGATTTTGTGTGTTTTTTTCTTTTTTTGGGGGGGTTGGAAATGACTCACTATTTAATAAATAAATTTACTCGCAATCTTTTCCTTATTTTGCTACTGATATGCCAAAAAGATCATTTTAATGCTCTTTTTTTAAATTTTTACTTTCAATCTCAAGAAAGTATCAATGATGCAAATAAAAATGAAGTAAAGTAAGACTTAATTTTGAAAAAAAAAAATAACTAAAAATATGGCTACAATTTGCTATTTTTAAAAAATTTGAAGACATAAATAACTACTATATATTCTTATCATGTAAAAGACCATTTTAACACTCTAAAAATCATCAGTTTTTTTATGTACTTTAAGATCATGGCACATAATCCCCTAAAAATTAAATTATTTTCAAATCACAGATTCGAATTTGAAAAGAGTTTTAACATCTAACTAAGGTCATTAATAAATGTTTGATTAGTTGACAAGTGATAAACTTAGATACACACACCAAGTGTCAGTCGAAGAATCGTTTAGATATTTTATGGGATAAGACCATAGTTATTTCCCCTGGGGGATTATTCAACCTAACATATCTTTAATAGCCATGGGCAGCTCTCTACTGATCACATACTGATTAATGAGATTAAATAATTACACGAGATAATAATGCACCCATTGATAAATACTGGTAATTTAATATTTTGGAATAGGATAAGGTATGTCAATTGATTTAAGGAAGAAGGCTGTGTGGATTGAGGGGGGGGGGGCGTAATTTATCTACTATAAATGTTCTTTATAAGACGAGAATAGTAATTTATCCTTTCTTCAATTTCACAGTATTTCTGTGTTTTTTAAATTACGTGTTTTGTTTTCTAAATCTTAAAATAAAGTCGATAAAGGCAAATAAAAAAGATAAAAGCCTCGGAAGTGAAGTGAGACATTATTTGTAAAAAATAAAATTTGAAGCAGAAATAGTAAAAATATGGTTCTTACCAGGATCTAAACCACTTTCTCTATGGCTATTGACATCTTCGTCACTTCCACCACGCCCAGAATCACTGGTGCCAGTTTCTCCAGATGACTCGCTAGCAGCATCATCAGCTTTCTTTAAAATTTCCATCAATTGACGAGCCTAAGGAATGAAGAGAAAAAAAATTTCAAATTCGTCTTACAGATTCTATTTGAGGGGTTGATTAAATCATAAGGTAAGTATCTAGAACAGAACTTGTTAAATATTAAAATAGAGAAGGATAGTGATGCATTATAGATAAGAAAAGATATAAAGTATATATATATATACCAATACATGTACATGCAAATTATATAGTATATATATTCATGCAGGTAAAGAGAACAGATATACATCTATAAGAGATTGGGGGTGGGGGTTAATAAGAAGTAGTATGATACCTTTTATGTGACTTTTTCTCAACTGGTCACTTTACTATTCACGCTTACCTTTCTTACTATAATCAAGAACAATTTAAGACATGATCCTTGGCCAACTATATACATGTAATGACCTCTTACAGAGATATATAACACAGTTTCATACTCACCACAGAGACATTCATTCAAATTCAAACTTGGACAGAACTGAGCATAAAATGAATCAAAAGAATTCATTGAAAATAAAATCAAGACTTACGAATCATCAATCTTTCAAAATTCCCGCAAAATGAATCTGCTCCACATAATTTACAACTTTTAATTCATGCAGGATACATCAAATACAGTAGCACATGGATAGATACTCAATATATATATATAAAATCATTAGATTTCTAATGTCTAAAATCCTACTTATTTCATTCAATTTCTAAATACATAAGAACCCCACTACAATGCCTGTTTCAGTATAAGACACGCTATCAACATGACCCCCAATCGCGTTATAGTGATGCCCTTCTGTATAAAGTATTATATATTAAGGGTCTCATTATAATGTGACTATGGTCAATGCTTGACAACATCAGCCAGCCTTATAGTGAAGCTCTAGTGTATTTCTATATTTTCTATCAGACACGATACATGCTGTCCAAGATCTAAAATCTAGTCTATTGAGTACAGCTACAAGACAGAAAATATATATTTTATGGTCATAACACATGATCATGCACACAGAAAATTTCACAAAAAATAACTTTACAACTTCCTATATCCAAACACGATAAGCCTTTCAAATATTTAACAATTCATCCGCATACCAAAGCCACAAAATCAATTTAGAAAGATTGATTTTTATCTTTATGGTCGAACAAAAACACAATTAAAATTTAAATCAAAAATACTGTTTCGTTTATCTAATTTTAGTAACAATTTATGTAACAAACTAATGAAACACCATCGAAACAGTATCGACAAAGTGACCTGAGAAAGTTACTATTATTAAACTAATGATTGATAGCGAAGTTTTCTTGGCTAGACAATGAAAGCGACAAGAGTTAAGACAATTAATACCTGAAGTGCCATGGGAAGGGAATCTCGTCGACTAAATGGCGAGAGCTTGGAGAAGGGATGAAGGCAATACATCTACATGCAAACCAAAGAAACAGAATTTAAAAGGGATTAATGATAAAATAGTGTTAGAAAAATATTAAAATCATAAATGAGAAAAAAAGAGATTGGGTTAATCATAAAGAGTGGAAAAACAGAATATCAATAACAAAATTTGGAAAAATCAAGAAATTGAAACATAATTAGGACCATTATAATTTCTAAAAAATAAATTAAGACATTCATTAACTGACATTAATGGAAAATATTAACTGAGTTTGTGCCAAAAGTCCACACTTCATGATCAGTGGCTTGAAAATCATGAATAAAGGCTTCGGACCAATGCAATACATGTGTTAGCATGAGAGACGGGATTATCAAGTCTCTAACTGACCAACGGTCCCCATTTCCCCAAAGAATACATTGATATATCTTCACTACAGCAAGAACTAAAAAAACTTGTGCATCTGCCCCAACAATAAAATGTCTGATCTAGGTCTACTCATGTGCAACGGAAAAATAAGTGGGGCTGTTGGTCTTTAGTGGCTGTGTTAAACCAACATAAATTATCCCTGATTCTAAAGAAAAACAGGAAGTTTTCCATTACCTCCTCTTCTTTTGTTTGATGCCACTGTTGATTTAATGGTGGAGGAGGGGGTAAATCATCACTAACTGGAATGCTGCTTTGTAATTTATTGTTGAAGTTTAAAGAATTACCAATAACTAAACAGTTATCCTGAAGACCACTCTGAAAAAAAAAAAAAAAAACGTTCAGTAATAAATAACCTGAAAATTCAAATTTGTTATGTCATGATCAGCAAAAACCAAATATGGGAAATTTAAAAGGTCATCAAATACAAAAGTGTTAAGCTGACATTTTTCTTAGTTAAATCCCCACCAGCCCACGACAATAATCCAATGACTTATCTTTCTTTTATCTCTGTTTGATGTTTCTCATAAAAATTTGATTGGAAAGACAATAAATAGTTGATTGAACAAAGTAGGAAACTGATCTATTCAAATGTTTCTTTGTCCATCGGGGATATTTCTATAGCACAAAAGTCAGTCTTGTTTACACCACACATCAATTTATTAGTCCCCTAAGAATTTGCGTCAAAAATATATAATGAATATCCTTATCAAATATAGAAAAGACTACGAAGAACTTTCGTTTTATCAGTATAAATGATAAGTAACCATGCATATCATAACTGAAAGTTCTACAAGATGCTTTTCTTTACAGAATAAAAATAATTGAGCTATGTATTCGTTTTTTTGGGTTTTTTTTAGAGTTATTATTTAGAGTTATACAAGTTTTCAAAACATTATTTATTTTCATTTCCAATACTTCTATTATACTAAAAATTCTGAGCAGTAAGTGAAAAGTACTAATTGATTTTAAGCTCAAATTCTCAGGGAACATCCTTCACTTTGACATGATCATACTTTGACTTGCCACATAATGTTTATAGCAACTTAGATGTTGAGCGCCTCCTACACATTAAGTGCGCTTAGACAACATGTGGTAACCATAAGGTAGTGGATGTTCTATAGGGAAATTCTTAACACTGTATTAAGATGTTGTATTTCTCTCTGTATGTACAGAATCCAACTTTTGGGCTCACATTACAACTGGTAGACAGAAACCAATAAACACTGGACGACCAGACGCTCTATAAGATGTAAACAAATCTTGTCTACAATTCAAATTCTATGCTATTCTTTTAAATAAAGACATCTTGGATATGCATGCCTCATATGCATCAAACCATTTTGGGCATCTTCTCAGATAAACAAAAGATTTAGTATTGAAATGGTTGTATAAAACAATAGCATAACAATACAGATGCCGTTCAGATGACTATATATAAGAACTTTTAAAAACCCTGGAAGTGATCTTTCTGAAACACAACTCAGGTACATTTTCCGATTTGTGTGTAGGTTTATACTAGCAATAATGAAAACTAAAAAAAATTTAAAAATTGTTTGCCATTCCTGTGCCCGAAGTAAAGTGTGCAGTTCTGTACATTGATATAAGCTGTGGACATACTGATATAAAACTCACCTTTTGGGAATGTTCACTGGGCTGTGATTTAAAAGTTGAAAATGATGTTGCTCCTGATGATGCAGTAGTATTGTGTTCAGCTTCATCCTCTATTGAAAAACTCACTTCTTTTCGATTGTTTTTGCGCTTTAAGGCAGCTTCATTTTCATTTGAATCTCTTGAAATGGAAGAAAAACTCTCTCGTTTTTTAACAACAGAAAACATTTTTTCTTCCTCAGTTTTTACCATTAAAGTCCTGTGTTGTCTTTCTCTGTCTATTCTTTTAATTAAACAAATGGTGGTTACGATAGCGATACCCAGTATTAATGTCACCGCAACTAAACTAATAACTATTAACATGTTTTTATCTGTTTCGCCCTCACCGTCAAAACCCATATAAGTACCGTTTGTTTTGGCCACATCTATGAATAATTTTGTTCTGGCAGCCATGGGAGGGTTGCCACTGTCTGTAACCATAATGTCAAGTTTGTAGTAGCCAGAATCGTCTGGTCGAATTGTTCGTGATAATGCCAAATCACCTGTGATGCGATTCATGTTAAACAGATGACGATTGTTTCCTGATTTTAACATGTAGATTATCTTGGCGTTTGCAGGTTCGTCTTTATCATATGCTTGAACTGTTGCTATAACTGTTGCAACTTTTGTTTCAAAAGCAACTTCTGCAGTATTATTGTCAGCAGTTGGGTAAAGAATAATAGGCACATTGTCATTATCATCTAAAATATAAACAGTCACATTAGCAGTATCAGAAAAACCTGGAACCTGAGGGTCACGAACGTTCACAGAAAAACTGAATTGGTCATTGGTTTCACGATCAAATTTCTTTTTGGTACTTACTAAACCAGTCCTAGGATGGATATCAAAGAAATCTCTAGCCCAGGAATTAACCGGCATAGAGAATAAGAATTCACCATTAATTTTTTCGTCTTTATCTGTGGCAGTGATATTTCCAGCTGATGCACCTGGATTCTGATTTTCCATGACATAGCAGAAGAAAACTGGTTTTGTGAACTTCGGTGGTTCATCATTTTGATCTAAAACAGTGATGACAATCCCCACAGATTGAGCTTTTGGCTGTTTTCCATAGTCAGTGGCTATTACGTTGAATTTAAACTCAGGGTTCACTTCACGATCCAACACAGCATTGGCACTGATGATACCTGTATCTCTGTCAACAGCGAAATATCGGGCAATCTCATCATCTATGGAATAACGGACCCTTCCGTTATTACCACTGTCCCAATCATGTGCAGTGACTCGCAGGATTTCTTCACCAACATCATTATTTTCAATAATACTTCCAGTGTACATTGTTTGACTAAACTCTGGGAAATTGTCGTTTTCGTCCAAAACATTGACCATGAAGGATTCTGTGCTGGACAGAGGAATCCTGCCTTGATCAGTACACGTAACTGTAACATTGTGGGTAGCTTGTGTTTCGTGATCTAACTTCTTACCGAGAACTATTTTATAACTTGTGTCAAAAAAACTTTCCAAGGCAAAATGTGTATCACTCATAGTGCAGCGCACATTTTTATTATTACCGAAATCTGCATCGGTCACAGAAACATGAGCTACAAACTTCTTGGTGTCCACAGCTTCTGATATGTCAGTTCCTTCTGGGGACAGGTTGATGCTGATCTTTGGAGCATTATCGTTCTCATCTTCTACATCAATGGTAACCAAAGCTTGGGATGATAATGGAGGTGAACCACCATCATGTGCTTCAACCATAAATTGGTACTGTTTGGTAGTTTCATAGTCAATACTGCCCTTGGAATAAATCCTACCAGTTTCTTCTTCGATGCCAAAAGCATTTCGGACTTTGTCAGAAACACGAGAACTGTATTTATATTTGACTTGACCATTGATGCCTTCATCTGCATCTACTGTCGATAGCTGCAAAACTGTTCTGTTTTTAGGAATATTTTCAAACACAGAAATGTTGTATGTAGAATTCCTAAAAACTGGACGGTTGTCATTCACGTCTGTTACTTTAATGTCAATGATGACAGATCCTGTTTTAATAGGATATCCTCCATCTTTGGCAATAACCTTAACTTGAAATTCATCTCTAGTTTCCCGATCCAATGGATGCTTAACAACAATTCCTAAATCGGAACTTCCGTCCCAATTCTTGACAACCTTTAAGCCGAACATGCCCGAACTAGGGATAAGATCATAAGATTGGATGGAATTATTGTGTCCCATATCTGCATCCACAGCACCACTCGTCAGTAAAACATGACCAGATAACACAGATTCGGGAACAGTCAGACTAATTCTGGCACGAGGAAAAGTTGGGGCATTATCATTTACATCATCAATAATAACCATAACTTTCATTAATTTATATAAATTGAACGCATTCCTGCCACTTTCGCGCATATAAACAGCAATATCCAAAGCTACAGAACAGTCCACTTTTAATGGACAAATTGCTTCTCTATCCACTACTTCTGCTGTTCGGATGGTTGAACTATGTTCATCAATAGTAAAAAGTTTAGCATTGGGGTTACCTTGAGTGAAAAATGTAAATTTTAGTCTCTGGAACTCTGATTCAGAAATATTTCCATACAATAAACTCTCTCTGGCCACATTGCCCACAAATGTTCCCACTTCTTGATTTTCCCTTAAATTATAAGTTAATGCTATTTCTTGTCCTAGAGTTAAAGACATGCTCCCACAAATCACAAACAGGGTGAAAACGCTCATAAATGCCATCATTGATGATTGGAAAAATAAAATCTACATACAAAAAGGAAAGTTACTTCATATCATAAATCGACTATAGTTGACATGTCTTCTTGTAGATGCTGAATGATATCACACTAAGTTCATATATATGTTCGAAATGATTCCACAGTTATAATTAATTTACAGTTTAGTCCTTGTTGATATCCTGAGATGTTGCTCTTCTGAAGTTTCTCTTTTAACTGATGGCTGACTTCAGGACCTGGAAATAAATAGACGAAAACCATTAAAAAAATTATTTACAAGATATTTTCAGAAAGGTAAAACCTGCTAATGAGTCTTGCCCATTATGTGAATGGACAACAATACATAATATTTTCATTAGTACAAAACCTGGCTTCTTTGAGAACATGATGGCTACCTTTGAGAGATGTCAATATTTTCTTAACAATTTACCTTGGAGTTTCTTTGATTCAAATAGCACACAATGAGAAAGTCAATTACCTAGCTAGAACATATTACCCTACAAACAAATCCCTGTATATTTATATATCAATTTAACTCCCAAACCCTTTTGATACAATCCTAACAAAAGAGTCATTATAGGGTACTGATTGCTATTGTTTAAGGCCTGTTTTTACCATCTCTGATTTCAACACCTTAGTATAACTACTTAACTCTTTGTGCGAGCTAATGGTTTCGTTTTTGTCACTTGCTCATTAAAAAACAACAGTTATTTAAGAATACTTGATTTTAATACACTAGGTGTGATTCAATGTTTTTCAAACTGAAATTTTTGCTTTGTATTACTACTCAAGCGTTATTTGTTGTGAGAAATGGTTGCCTTGCCTGCTCTCATATTGCTATCAAAATACAGACTAGCTTTTGATCCCAGCGAGAGTTGCAAAAATGATAGAGTTTCAAAAGTTATAGAAGCCATATTGTTTATTAATTTACAAATAAAACATTACAATTTATTCCTATGAACTCAGAGCAAGTGTATTTGCTTTAGTAATTTTATAAGTTTTATGTTACATACAAACATGCAATACACACATGTATATTCCTCTGTAGGAAAACCTTTTTATTCTTTTGATAAATTTATAAAATATTTTATTTATAAGAGATTGTTATTTTTCCATTTTTATTTGAAGACTTACAAACATATTTTCTGAAATCATATTTCTTTCTTACTTTAGGGAGTTAATAATTAAATGCAATTATGATTTTCAAAAACTGAAAATACAAATCCTCTCTTTTTGCAAATAATTTTGCTTATTTCTTTTATGAAGTTCAGTCAGAGCAGAACGGCAGGATGTTAAACCCCAATTGTGCACAATTTGGTATATATCTTTAAAGTACCATGTTTTCTCTGCAGGATAGTCTAACATTAATAAGTAGATTAGTTGTAAAAGGGGAAAGAAATTCTCTATTTATGGTTGTCCGATGTTGACATTTCGACAACTCCACAGAAAAAATCCACTGCACATGAAAATGAACCTAATAATCAATTTAGTTACACCTTTTCCTTGTTTCTGATGAAATATTTCTTGAAACGAGAACTAGAAATAAAAATCGTTAACGATTTTCACTCTACCAATTAGCTGCAGTTCACATCCATTGCCACATGATTAACACTACGGTAAAGCTAACTCATCTATAATTGATGTCAAACCAATCAAAAGCCTGCTAAAATTTCATCTTTTTATGGATAGGTTATGTTAAAAGAGTGACATTTATTGTCATTTATTTGTTTTTTGCACTCTTGGTTTCTCAAACTTTTATTCCATAGTATAAGTCTTTATACACTATGAAAATGTCATGAAAAAGTGTCGCTAATTTACCATTTGTATTATCACCCTCCATATTACATGTTAACATATTTTTGTCCTGTCCGAGTTCAACTGGTAATTTGATTGATGTTTCTATTCTGTTTATAATTTTGTGGCCGAAAAAAAAAGAAGAGATAATTTTTTTTCTTGAGAGACATTTTGTGATTATCATTAGACAGAAAATGAGTAATTCCAAACCTAACACAATTACATGTTTAATGCTTTAATCACATTTTCAAGTAAAATAATCAAGTTAACATCCATTAAAGTCCATCAAGTGATGAGTAAGGACTGAAAGAACTCATTTTCTATAGTGTCAGTCATATAACTGTCTTTTAAAACGCATTTCATGTACCTCTGATGATGGAGGAGCTATCCCCCTCCTCGACATCTTAGCATCCTCATTCCTTAATAGAATTTTTGAATTCTAATTCACTTGTAGGTTTGATTGAAAAGAGCAATCTTCAGTTTGACTCAAGCGCAACTACTTTTTTTGTGCCTTATTAACGTTTTCTGTTAAATTTCATGAACTCATTTCTAAAGCTTCGGTAACAGATTAATAAAATTGCAATTACAATCTCCCAAAAGTCATCGACGCAGAGAATGCACAGGAGCTACGTTCCCGTGAGTCCCAGGGAAACGGTGATGAAAATAGCAATGCCTCGTCGATCAAAAGCTAAATAATTAATCTAATTTAAAAATAAGATCAACCGTTGTGCAAATAAACAAGAGATTAATAAGATTAATGAACCTCAGACAGTAAGATTAACTGCTCTTCCTTACTTAATACTCCTGGGAACTAGAGACATATCATGTTCCTGAACTGATCCAGGATACATGTACCGCTTAATCTTAATCCTCCTGATTATCTCCTCACACCTTTCTCTTTTCATCATCCATAATTCATCTCCTTGAAGTTTGTCATTTGTATAAATCAGTAGTGAAAATATTGAACTTGTGAAACAAACACCTGATGCTGGACTATTTTTCTATCTTCTTAGTTAAAGAACACCTCCCTACTTGTAATGTCTATCGGTCAGCTTACAAAGATCTGCACTGGTTGAGTAATCGCTTTGATCTCAGGGAGGGATTAATCAAAGAACATAATGGTCAGTCATTGACCAACGATCATCTGGGCAGATCAATACGGCCACTAGACAAAAATAGATCCAACTACAAGAAAATGACCACAGATATCAGAAGACGGCATCTGGGGAGAAGTGACCATTACAATTTTCTAGATTGTCTTAGAAATTATCCTCAAATTACTTCTGCCATGTTTGATTAAGCAAACTCTATTTGTGCCGTAGATGGACAGAAGTTGTCAATTACCAGCTACCATTATTCCCTTGACTCTGTTTAACAATTTTGTAGTACCATTAATATATACCACAAAAATAATTATGGCACATCGTATTCCATGTTTTATTATCGTTAGTGTGAAGACTTATCTCATTACTACCTACAAACGAGGACATGATGGTATACATATCTCGTTACAAGGAAAAGACAATTTTCTTTCTAAAGGTCATTTATGCTTATTGAATGTCTTAAAGTGACAATATGTCCAGTTATGGTTGTAATTCACCTTTGGCTTAAGACTATAATGGTCACGCTCAAGGCATCATTATATTAGTTAATTATCTTAATTAATATTCTCTGGTGCAGAAAATCTATTATGGTTTTATTAAAACTTGGTTTTAAATTATCAAAAAGAGGAATTTTTAAGACCAAATTCTGACATTTTATTTTATTCAATATGTTGAATTTTCTGGATTTTCTCTTTTTTTAATAGTAGGATGTCAAACTCCATTTCATATCATTTCTTATTTTTATAACTGTTAAGTCATAAAATCTATGGATTTATTGATTAATAATTTCTTATATTGTTTATTAGTAAAACATTCTTTAATTCATTTGATTTTATCCTCAAAGATTTACAACATTTAAATTGATCGATTGATTGGTTGGTTCTTTTGATTGAAAATCAGCATCTTCCAATCAAAAAGACTTACATGCTGACTAATCTACTTCAAAGAAAGTAAATCGATTTAAAATAATATTAATGATCCCCAAATAGACGGATCAATTCTAAATCATATAATAAATAGACTAGTGTATCTAATCCATTAATATTATCTTTTTCTTGATTCAATTAGACTCATCATAGAAATTGTCCTTAAAGGATCCCGATATTCTCTTTCTAATGAATTCAAGAGCCATATTTATATGACTGAAATAATGTTGTTTTTGCATTATTAATTGTCTATTAATGTATATGCTTTATAGATTACTGATACCACCCAGCCTGTATACATGTAGGTGACACTGGCATCCACTCAACACAAACTAGATCATTTCGGGACTAACATAATGTTCAATTTTTTTAATTTCAATAATTAGCTTGCGCGTAGGTGTCTTTAGCAGTGGGAGAAAACCAGAGGACCTGGAGAAAACCCACGAGGTTGGACAGGAATTTAAAATCTCTCAAATTATGAACAGCAGGATCGAATAGGTAACAATTTATATTGCTTTCTTTTATTTCAGCATTTATATTTCAACTATTTTTATTTTAGTCACTGATCTTTACTGAGTCCTTTTTTTATTTTTAATGAAATTAATCAAAGTAAATAGAATCTAGTTATCAATTGGGAAAAGGAACAATTTATAAATTGTTACACGACAGAAATTATCATATAGTAATTATATCCCTGTGTTATATAATAATGATACGTATATAATGTGATTGATATTGATTGGACAGCACTAAACATGTTCTAACTAACCTAACAAGCTACAGATTATATCACCATCGGTATTATACCACCATAACACACAGTATTCATTACCGAGTTAAATAATCGTCATCTTCATCATTATCGCTAAATCAAACAAACCCACATCAGGAGACATGAGATAAATATAAACTAAATAATACAATAGAAAGTATTAGCTATGAGAACAGAACCAATATATTATTCAAAATCATCACAGGTGTTCCAAAAAGAATCAGCATACCCCAACACATGCACAGCACCTGTTACTGTGGTGATAGCATTTCACTTTTATTTCTAAACAAACTGTTATTAGAAAATGTTCAATAAGATACGTGTACAGCATAATTTGTATAATATTTAAAATTGTTTTTCAAAAATGAACTATGCACTAACTACATATTTAGTACATTCATTCAAAGTGAAACCACACTCCTAACAAGGGAAGCAACCCACAAACTCAAAATGAGAAAAACAGAGCATCTCCCAAACATTGTACTATTCTACAAACAATCTCAATGCTGGTACACTGATCAAATGATTTAGAACAATTCAATTTGGAGTAAGAAGGCAAATGGCCAGCCATTGGATCCATTTGTATGATTTGGTAGTATTTTTATTGTTGTTACTTCCAGTGTTCATACATGTACGGTATG